AGCTTTCACGTATAAACTTACTCATTTTGCCTCCACTCAATTTCATTTTTCTCCAGCGACTCAAAATACACTAGAGGGTTTGCAAGAACTCCAGAAGTTGTAGACCACGCTCCAGCCAATCAGAGAAAAGCTGTGAAGCCATGATTGGGTCCCTTTTTGTGGTGCAGCACAACAGTAAACAAAGCCTTCGAGATGGATGTAGACGAAACCATACATTCTGTGTTGGCAACGATTCCTGAGAGGATTTAAAGCCGGAATAAAGAAAATGTTTGGTGAATTTTATCAAGGGGAAAGACATTATTGCCCTTCTTCCTACGGGATTTGGGAAAAGCTTAATATACCAGTTAGCCCCGTTAGTGGCGCATTACATACGTCACGACCAAATGGCAGCGACTGGTTAAAAAAAAAAGTGAGCAAACGATTCCTAATACTGCGAGGTCAGAGGGTTTCCACAAAGTGAAATCAACTGATGAATCAGGCTGACTCATAGTGGGAAGACAAGCCAAAAAGTACACACAAGTAATAGTCCTGTTACTCCAATATAATATTCCTCATGTTTAATTTACCAAAGAAATGTGTGACAAAAACCATTTCCTTCAGTGGTCCCTCAAGTAAACGGCATCATTACTACCCACCACTCAAAGCTTTCGAGGGGAGATTTGGGAAAGCCGTGGGGAGGTCCTCGGGCCTGTAAGTGGTTTTTGGATCACTGGTAACTATGGCAATGACCTCTCGATAATTATAGGCGCTGATAGACATGCATCTTACACGTTTTCAGAGATATCCACTGCTGTAATTACACACACCCAGTCCCTTTGTGCACAAGTGTTCAGAGACATTTCATTCTTGATACGCATTTTACATGTAGCTCTCCCATCTGTCCGCAGATCTGATCTTAAGCCCACTCTAATGCGGTTAAGTCCCCAGTTGTTGGCTCACAGAGTGCTTTGAAGTGGCTAATCTCCGTCACCATCGCTGTGTCCGAATTATGCCAATGTCGTCCAGAAGAACTACTCAGAAACTTCTTGTGTGTTTGAACTTGGAAAGTCCTCACTTATCACTTTTTGCCTTCATAGAGTCAACAGAAAAGAAACATGAAAGACAAATACATTTCTATACGAGCTGATGATAATGAAAACAAATGTAATTGAACAAATAAGATTAATGCCATACTGAGGAACATTCCAGGTAATACTTTTTACACCATAAAAATGAGCAGATGGCTGACCCTCAACCAAAAGTTACACAGTGCACCTTTAAAATGACTTGAAGTCAAAATATGTTGTTTTGAGTTGTATTGAACACTAGATTTTAGGAATATAATTCAATTGTAGGTTTAATTAATAATACATATTTAATAGAGTAAAGAATAACTTAATAACTAATTTCTGACCTATGTTATAATTTAGTTTCCTCGTCAAAAACATAAAGTTAACACACAAACTTATTTGTGCATATTTAGGCGGAGTTCTTCCCTCAAACAGAAAACACTGTGATAAGTCCTCCACTGGGTTTTTAAACTCCATTCATCTTACAAACATTTGGATAATTTCAGACTTGGAATTTCCAATCTCTACTGAATAAAAGGAGCTGTTAACTTGTTAAAACTACCGCTTCATGACATCACAAGGTGGAACAGAGCATTTTGAGCTTTGAAGATGCAGACAGACTAATATTAAAAGGTTATTCAAATAACCTAAAAGTGAATGACAAAAACAAAACACAACTCCAGGTATGTTTTTGATGAGATAACAACATTATAACATGACTTAAAGCTCATAGGAGTAAATTTTTGCTTTATATAGAACCCTTAACAAAGCGTAATTTTGTTACTCCACTTAGATAATAATAGATAATATGACTTAAAATGTCTATGAAACCATTTTCAGCAAGTCAAATAACAAGGATTTATTTGAAAATTTGGTGCTTGGGTGCTTTATATGTATAAATAAAGTTTTTCATACTTTTCAAACGCAAATATTCCTTACAAGACTGTAACAAGAGAGTCTGTGAACAAGGCTCCGATTCTTGTGGCCATTTGGGATGGGGCGCAGATTGAAATGGTAAACAGTGTAGTGAGTGAGATAGAGCCCAGAGGAACAGAGCCTCCCTTTCTCCTCCACATGCTTTAATCTCTCCTCTGTCTCCTTCCATCCTCTGTCCACCTCATAGCTCCACTTTGATGATAAGCTGCATATTATTGCGTCGTATATATAAATACAACCAACCCAAAATCAGAGCAATTAATGTAAACCAGGCGCCAAGAGTAAGAGCCCCTTTAAATCATTAAGACTCCAACGGCCAGTTCACATCTTGTACTAATTCTGTAGATCTTAATTACACCGTGACACATCATAGTCAGGGCCTACTTTGAACTGCTTTGAACAATCTTGGCTAATATTTTGCTTTTCAATCTTTTAATCCAGATGAGTCTTAAGTCGAGGCGGGTGGCCAACCACTGTCTCCAGTGTTCTCAAATGTACGAGGGATGTCAGACGCAAATTGTCAGTACATCTAAACCCAAATGTAAAGCAGTCGTGTGAATACCAGCACAGATCAAAACTAATAGCTGCTTAAGACAAGTAATTTTATTTAATGCTTTGTGAAATTGATGCCGCATGCTTTTGCTCCTTTAGTGTGTCCAGAAGTGTTGTAGTGATCCTGAAGGAATTAACTTGGTACTCAATACTGATTCTGTTATCACGTTAAAAATAAAAACACTTTCTTTAGACAATAGAGTGTGATTTTCAACATTAAATCATAGTACTTTCTTTTATATTATTGTCTTATATCTGTTTAATTCCTCAGTCGCCCAGAAAAGTTTAATACTAGTCTATGTGGTCTTATACTTGTTCTGGTACAGCTCAAGATCATTCTAAAGCTATTCAGGAAAAGTTCATTTCTGCTGTGTGAAGGTGACCTGTTTAGTATTGATACTTGCTCAAATTAATATCCAGTTTTGACAACCATAGTGGTGAGGAGAGCTACAGTCTTTTGGCTTTGGCTTTTGTCTTTAGGCATGACACTTCAGCCATCTTGCAGGTTTAAAGCATCATTGAGTGATTAGTGGTGGTCAAAGTCTGTCAATCTGCCTCTGGGCATCTGTGGCTACAAAAATCTTATCACAGTTGAATGTGCCAGAGGATTGACTGAGTGCAGTTAGCAGCTCAACGGGGGCAATATAGATGCACTTTCACTGTTTGCGTAGGGTAAAAGTACTTGGTTTTCAGAAGAATGTCAGTCGAATGTCTTTTTCCAGTTATTGATTGCAATTCAAGTCATGCAAGTCCAGTGAAGAGCTTGAAATGGTACCAAGGTAAATACTGAACAGGCAGAGGTAAAAAAAAAAAAAAAAAAAAAGCCAAACTCTGCCAAAACTACCCGACTAAGATAAGCTTGAAAACATGGAGTGTCCAGCACAGTCTCCAGACTTAAACCCCATCAAGCTGGTTTTGGGATGAACTGGACAGAAGAGTGAAAGCCAAGAAACCTACAAGTGTCACACATTTATGGGAACTTCTGCAACAGACTTGGGAAGAACTTTCTGAAGAAGATTTAATTTCTATTGTGAACAGAACGAGCCACGAGTGTGTTCAGCTGTTATATCTGCCAAAGGTGGACACTTTGATGAATCAAAAGTTTACAATACATTTTGGTCAAAGTAAACAGTAAACAGTAAAAAAATTGAAAAAATGTTTAGTTCTAAAACTTTTGACCGGTAGTGTAGTTTATCAGTTTTAATGAAATATCCAAAAGTTAAATGCACAAATGTATAGTCTGATCATTTCTATGACTGACTAGACCTCAGAACTCACTATATTTCAAGGAAAAGTTACATTAACAATATTAATTTGAGCTTCCTTCATCTGTTTTCATTTATACTGACCTATAGAATACTGTGATGCCTTCTGAAATACAGCCATAGCTTTCATTTTGGATGGAGAATTACCGGTACACTGTGTCTGTCTTGCAAAAAAGTGTTAAAGTTTTTGTTGTAGTTTTTCCCCTTTTCCCACCATATACTTAAAATATTCAGTGTGTCTTTCTCCTCATCTTCCTAGAAACCATTATACAGTATTAAACCTTTATCCCATCTGAGAGTTTTCCATTCTTTGTCACTCCTCACCTCCTGCTGTGGCTCTGTTGGCCTGCACACTCCGATTTACCAAAGAACTTTTGACTGGGACCCCCCCTCCTCTTCCTCCTCTCCTCTCTCTCTTTCTCTCTCTCTCTCTCTCTCTCTCTCTCTCTCTCTCAGCCAAATTACAAATTCTCCAAATGTCTGCATGCATGGGAAACACTTACATCCACATCTGCTTTAGGGCGCATACACACACACACACAGAGCCCGTCCCAAGTGTCGTATCTCTAGGGTACATTTATCCCAACTTCTAATTGATAAAGCATGTAACTGTTGCGAGAATACGCGAGTTCACTTTATTAATACGGAAAACAACAACTTGTAAAGTCTTTATTGGTTGTAAATTTAAAAAAGAGCGTAACTATGGGTAGAAAATATTATTATTGTGCTTTTCTTGGCAATACGGTGCAGTTTTTCGCTCCCAGACAAATATGCGTCCTTGGTGTGGAGACGGTGCCAAGTGAACCCTTAGCCGTTTCCGACAATCACTATAAGATTACTTGTGATCAGAGCGAAATAGCACAATGGGTATTCTTACGTCCGATTGTGCAACTCAGAAAGCGGCTAGAGTTATTATAGCTTAGTCATAGCCTATAGAGCAAAGAGGCAAAGAGAGCGCGAGAGAAAGAGAGAGAGAGTTGTGTAATATGTCGGTTTTGCGCGCGCCTCCCCACCGCTCGTGGACCCCTGGCTGCTCGGTGTCACACTAGTTCATAATAAGGGACCCCCCCAACTCACCCACCCACCCACCCACACCGCACCCACCCACCCTCACCACCCTCCAACACCAAAAGTGAACAGGAGAGAGTGCGAGAGAGCCTCCCACTTCGCCCTCGCGCTCCCAAAAATCACGGGGAGTGAGTGTGACAGCAGAGAGGAAAGGGACACGCACAGACTGGAGGGAAAGAGAGAGAGAAAGGAGGAGTAGACAGAAGTGCAAGTCTTTAGCGGAGTTTGACCGCACGTTTCTTTGGGAACTATAAGGATAATACCGCAAAAAAGTGGACATATTGTTTTTAGTGGACCGAGAAGTTGAAGACGTGGTTGACTTATCGGAGCATGCGGTTCGCTATACTTTTCAGGTAACTAATAACACAAAAACTACACCAACCTGTTGTGTTTACCTTCCTGTACCTTAAGAAGAATTTGGGTTTTGTAATAAAATAAACTGTGGAACTTTTCGTAACTTTTTTTTGCAACTTTTGGAGTAATTTAACAGTTGGCCAAATTTGGTTTTACGCACGACGCGCAACTAGTTTCTGAACGTCATGTGCACTCATCTGTGTTTTTAGTTATTTCCCATCTTCTGTCCCGTTTCCTCTGCTGAGTTTATTCTACAATGTGCCACTGTAGCGGTCAGCGGGGAAACGTGGAGCCGAGTAGGGGGTCGTTAGTTCGGCCTCAGCAGCTCTGTTGTGTGCGGGGACATGTGTGTGTTTTTCGGGGGTAATTGTGTAGTCTGGAGTTGGGAAGCGCTTCCAGAGACCACGGCGGTGCACCACATCGGAGAGAAGGCACCAATTAGACTGCCTGCATGTGGCTTGTGGACGGGTGATTGCGGTGATGGTTAGTTCCTCGTGGTGAGAAGTGGGATATTTATCTGAGCGAGCTGTTTAGTATCATGTTATGCAGGGATGCCACTTGCTTCCAATCCACTTGCTTCTTTACCGCAAGCAACTGCAAAAACCTTTTAGGAAACTTTTACAACAAGTGCGTTTTTCTCATAAGTTCAGCTTGCATGTTAGAACTACTTGTTAAATCACTTCTCATGATAGCGGCTTTTAATCCAAGCTGCGCATATTTATGTTCCTGTCAAATTGAAGTGCGCAAGTCCATAATTAGAGGCGACACTGAACACCATGCCTGACCCAAAACCACATACTTTGAACATTAAACCTCAAATAAAAGTACCTCAGTACCTTAGATGTTGGTTTCAGCTGCTTCTGTGTCTGCTGTGCCGATACTTACCACATCCAGGGAATGCACAGTCATTGAGACAAACATACAAGAAAAACATACTTGCTGTTTAAAGCCATTCATTTTTACAAGCACCTCAGGCTGTGTGAAGTTTGATCAAAAGTTCCTCTATGAATCTTGATTGGACTAAAAACAGTCCTTGCCCTGCCAGCCAATTTAGAAGTTTTCATGGAAAGGAAGTTGGCATGATTGGCTGGTAAAGTCCGCTGAGGTCACTGGAACACTTGATGGGATACTCACTCACTGAAACCTGAATAGTTGCTTTGGGAAAATGACTATAAAACACACATTCATGGATAAGCATACATTAGGTCATAGAGTAGTTATAAAGAGATTCTTATGGGGTGGCAGTAGCTTGGTTGTAAGAACTTTGGCCAAAAAAATGTCAGGTCAGCAGTTCAATCCCAGCTCCAACAAAGGCACACTTATGTTGTGTTATTAGGCAAGACACTTCACCCATCATGCCTATGTATGAGTGTGTGTGATTGATTTGAGTAGTTGGTGGTGGTCAGAGGGGCTGATGTTGCAGATTTGGCAGCCTTCGCTTGCGTCTGTCCACCCCAGGGCAGCTGCGGCAACAGAAGTCATTTCCCCCCACAAGTGAATGAACAATAGCTGTAATGTACACTTTGAGAAGCTGGCCAAGCTTGTAAAGTGCTATTTATTGACAATTTTACTTAATTATCATTTTATACCCCGTATACTTGGACAAACTCAGCTGAAAAATACAATAATTTCTTAAAACAAACATGAAATAGAATTATAGGGTTGGGTACCTTTCAGGGTTTTTTTTAACCTCATTTTCATTACCTAATCATAATCATTACAAAACAAAACTGCAATGTTCATAAATTCCATTAGCAGTAGAGAAAATCTGTTGTTTTTGTTGTTAATCTATGGCAACACTGCCTTGTAACCTTCTATGGTGCACTCCCAGGACCCACTTGGCATCAAAACATAAAAAAACTATTCTTTCTGTATCATTTATGAGTTCTAGCTCTTTTTCTACACCTGTAGTACCCAAGCCTTTTTATTCGTTACTGTACAGGTAGTTTAAATCAGCGTTTCACAAACTTTTTTTTTTTCTGGGACCCATATTTTAAAAGTCACAAACCTTTGCGACCCAAGTCAGTAGACATTATTTGAAAATCACAAAATAAAGGTGGGTTTGACCATTACTGAACATTAATGGGGAGGATATTTTATTGCTGACTTAGTGATTGTGTCTCTATGAAGAATTAGTATTACTCAAGTTTTAAACTTCATTGAACCAGCAATAAAAGGATCCATAAGTCGCCTATTTGGACATTAAATGTAGCCCATTTCTTTTTCTTTTCCACATCCAATGAACCAGCAATATTGGGACAAAATAGTCACTAGCTCTTTCATGATTCAGAAATGTTTATTGCCGATCTACATGCAGATCGTAACAAGGCGACCCCAAAAAAATCTCTTGCGACCCACCTGAGGATCACGACCCAGTCTTTAGGAAATAATACTTTAAATGGTACTGTAAAGTTGTACTACCCACTAACGTTTTTGCTTTGTGCTCTGTTGTAGGTTGTATGTGCTGTGGGGCTGTGTGGTGGCCGCGACCTCCGTGACCAAGGCTGCCAAGAGGAAGGTGAGTCATTAGCTCATAGCGACTGAGACCTTCGCAGACAACAGCATCTCTATGGAGGGGTGAAAGGTGCCAGTGATTACAGAGGCCCCCAGCGGACACACAGCTCCACATAGCCCTTAAGAACAGCGCGTAACCCAATATTCAGTGTTGAGAAATGAGAGGAATTTGCGTTGTAGGGATTAGCGTGGTGGTGCGTTGCTGTGTTTTGTCTGTGTGTGGTGGTACAGTGTGGCCTGAGTCTAAGCAGTAGCGCCGGGGGTCAGTGCTGCCGGTTGTGGGGTCACTGCACCAGGCTCATTACTGCCTCTGTTCTGTCGCTCGGTGCCGTTTGATGTCACTCATTACAGCACACCCACCCCCAAGAACACACGCCATAGTTATTAGCTTTTCCTTCTTCTTTTTTTTTTTGCATTTTCACTCTATTTTCATTTCACTGGCTCAGCTCCATGGAGATGTTATTGTTTTGCCTGGAATGTTCCTTTGTATGACATAACTTTATTTGATTACAGGTGTTTTTTTTTGCTCAACAGTACCCTGAAAAGCATGCGTTGCCTAACCACAGAGCTGACCTGTAACATGGCCTGGTGGTTTCATTTCTTCACTTAGTTGGATAGTTAATTTAATATCAAATGTTGGACGTTTCTACAATATGGACTGTATAAAAGCATGTTGTTAGATCAATAGGGTCTGTGGGAAATTATGGTTTTCAATTTTGACTTATTTTTTATAGATTTTTGGCCTTATAAACTTCAACAATTTGTCAATCTCTGTAATATACTCATAAAGCAGACAGAAGGCATTTAGGAGCAAGATATGATATGACTTTTGGGAAAAATTTTAGCTAGAACCTCTTACGGGACAGTGTACACAAGCAGTTTGCGTTGTCCACCTGAATTATATGAACTTGTAGTAAAATGTGTTTTTCTAGTTCTCTGTGAAAAGATCTGTTTGTTGAGCTCTTCTGTCAGGGGTCATTCGGCCAGGCCAGAGTCAGAGCACCAAAAAGAAGACGGGATATTTATCACTAGCAGCAGGGGAAGCAATCAATGGTCCAAGCTGGCACCCGCGGTCAGCCTCTCCAACACATGTACACAAACACAAAAAGAGCCAAAGTCAACCCTGACCTCCAGCACATCTAAAGACATCTGCTCCGGGCGCTGGCAGGTGACCCAGGCCTGAGTGCACGACCCACAGAGACAAGGAGGAAGGAAACACCAGAGACGACTGCTCATCTGTGAAACACTTACTCTGAAGAAATGTGCCCTTCATGATTTCAGATTTTGCAACTGCCATATTTTTGCAACTCTATGTACTTTTTCAATATTTTGCCAAACTAAGCAGATTTGACCCTGTTGCAGCAGTATTTGAGTTATAGCTGGATGAGGGGAGTGTAAACATCAATTTAGATTTCTGAGAAGCGGTCCTGTTTTTGAAAGATACTCTTGTTACGTGCTGGCTTAAATGAGAGTTCTCTAAAGTTGTAGCTTAGTTTGGCTTTGTGTTAGAGCTTTCATGTGGTGAATAGAGGAGGTTTGCTTACAGCTCATAGCAGGAGAGAGACGAGGGCCTCTCACAAGCAAATGCAGCCCTGAAAGCTGAAAGGTGCTGCTGATGGATGGGTTACTTCGTGTACAGCTGACCTTTTGTTAAGCAGTTCTTTGTTAAGTTTTCTCTCAGCTGTTTGTAAAGCCTGGCCCACTATGTCCTGATTGTATGTTTATGATATATGTGTAACTTAGCTCTTTTGTGTGTCAGGTGGCCGCTCGGAGGTCCAGGCAGGTGTATGAGGCGGAGCCGGTGGAGGGGGTGTGGTCTTTTTGGGGGGAGTGGTCTCAGTGCTCGCAGACCTGTGGAGTGGGCGTGTCCCTGAGGACCAGAAAGTGTTTAGCCCCTCCCCCTCCACAAGCCCCACCCATCTCCCACTCTCCACCAAACTGGGCAGGATATGTACCTGGAGGCGTCAGGAATCCTGTCAACTCACCTCTGCGCCCTTTTTACACTCCCCGTCACCCCGGGCAGCACGTGCCCTATCACGCCTCTGCTTACCCCAGCCACAGCCAGGGACTTCCTCTTTACAGGAACACTCCAGCGAGTGGGGGAGGGGCAACCGTCCCAGCACAGCCCAATCCATCCTCCAATTTTTATCAGCCCGATTTCTCACCCACAAGCCAGGATCACATTCCAGTTTATCAATCACCCTATCACTCTTCTTCTCAAAATTATAACAACCAGCCCGCGCGGGTCATGAGGAGACCCACCAACCCAGCAGCTGCGAGGTCAGGAGGAGGCGGGAACAGACGTTCTGTTTCCAGCAATCGAGAGAGTGGGGCTGCTGTGACTGCAAGAAGGTGGGTGTTTATAACCAGCTGTCAAATATTTAGCTTTCAGAACTTTTAATTTTTCTCTGATTGTTGATGTTTGCATGAATTCCTTTTGCATTTGAGCCCAGTGGTGTGAGATTGATGGTCAGTTTGTTGTGAACGTATCCCTTCCACTCCCACGCTCCTCTACACATGTTACTATTATCTTGTTTAATAATATCTGTGAGCCAAAAAGCTGAGGTGTTCTTGCTTGGTTTCACAAATTCACTCCTCTTTATGTCTGGCATCCATTGAATCATATTACATTACATCAACAGTTCTGTTTTATATCTCTTAAACTGACCCTTACTGTATGCTGACTATATGATGACTTGAATTGAGTTGGACAGAAAACACACGCTTTATATTTCTGTCTCTCCTCATTTTTTGTGTGTGCCTTTTTTCATCATATTTCAGGTCTTCACCAATCCGCCCAGGGCAATTCGGATATGGGAGAGTCCCCTTCTCTTTGCCACTTCATCGTCAAAACAGACAAGCTAGACATACTGCAAACGGTACTGATATCACGCCTTCTCTAACACCGGATCTGGACATCAATGAAAAGTATAACAAAAACGAGGAAGAGGAGACACTTTTTGGAGATGATGAAGAGAGCACAGCGGCTCCTACTCCAGAAGAATTCACCACTACAACTACTACAACCCGAAAACCATACCGCCACGTTGTCCGACAGGCGTATTCCGACACAAGGTCAAGAGAAAGAGCATCTCCTTACCAGTTTTCCCGTAGGCAATTTGACTGGAATAGCGTCACGGCCCCGCCCCCACCTGTACCGCCACAGTCCCACCCGAACTCACCTGGGTCGCCCTATGCCCCTCCCCTTCATCGCCCAAACCATCTCAACTGGGATAGTCAGCATCAACCGCCCACTGGGAATGTCTATCCGCTCCAGAATCCAAGCGTTCCGTATGGAGGAGCGGAGGCGGGGCAAGACAGAGGCAGAATCGTCTACAGATGCTCCGGGTCCGACAAGGAATACAGGAGGTGCTTTTCACAGGTAAGACCGGAAGTTGTTTACTGTCTAATTGGTACAATTTATGTATTCTTTCTTTATATTTGTTGTACGATAGAGCCATAAGTTAAGAGGTTCAAAATATGGGAATGATTAAAAAAAGAGGGAGTATTATGCAAAATAGATGAGCTTCCTACCATGTTATAATGTTATTCCGTCATCATAAACATGCCTGAAGAGGTTTTAGATGTCATCCATGCATGTTTCAGTAATTTAGCGATTTCTCAAGCCTTCCTCATTCACGCTTCCATGACAATTCTTCATAAAAGGACTAAAGCATGACACAAAACTTTACAGAACAACACGACAAACCCAGTACGATGTCTAGTAGTTCAATTAGAGCAGTGTCTCCCAAACTTTTTTTCTGGGGACCCATATTTTAAAAGTCACAAATCTTCGCGACCCAAGTCAGTAGACATTATTCATAAATCACAAAATACATTTGTGACCATTATTGAACATTAATGAGAATATTTGATTGTTGACTGAGTGATTGTGTCTCTCTGAACAATTTGTATTACTCAAGTTTCAAACAATGAAAAACAGAACTCAGTGTTTCCCACAGAAAATTGGTTATTCAAGGCGGTGCTGCCGAAAAAGTGAGGAGCAGAGGGGAGGGGTGCGTGGAGATTCCGTGCATGGAGAAAAAGTGAGGAGCGGGGAGAGTTGTGGGGAGATTCCATGCACGGAGAAGAAGTGAGGAGCAGGGGGGTGGACATTCCGTGCATGGAGAAGAAGTGAGGAGCAGGGGGGTGTGTGGACATTCCGTGCACGGAGAAGAAGTGAGCCACAGGGAGGGGTGTGGGGAGTTTCCGTGCATGGAGAAAAATGAGAAGCAGGCGAGTGCGTGGAGATTCCGTGCACGAAGAAGAAGTGAGGAGCAGGGAGGTGCGTGGATATGTATGTATATGTATTTTGCTAACCTACATGCAGATCGTGACAAGGCCCCCCAAAAAGAAAATCTCTTGCGTCTCACTTGAAGGTCCCGACTCAGTCTTTGTGAAACAGTGAATCAGAGGGATGCACGCTGATTTTGTTGTGATAGTGCTCTGAACAGAGGGGGACTTAAAACTTTGCTGTTTTTCACGAACATTTTCAAAACAATTAAAGGTGACAGCTAATATATGTTATGTGTTAGCCATTAATACCCCATAGAAGTAAAATGCTGTCTTTAAATGGTATACAGTCAGTATCTAAAAAGACTCATAGTTAGGCTTGGACTGTCAAGATGGAATTTTGAAAGAAATATGTTTTTGGTGACATTCCTGGAACCTTATTCACTACACTATACTGGACTAAAATATGTGGGCACTTTTCTCTACTTCGTGACATACTGAAAATCCTTCCTCTTTTGTGGTCTATTATGCCTGCTAACTCAAGTAACATTCTTACACAAGTTTAAAATTAGTTCTTGATGATATGACAAAACAATTAAATGTCATTTATTTCCTTTTAGTGCTGAATCATAATTTTCCATTCAGTGTTTTTGTAAAATCAAATCGGTACGCCTTCAAATCTTAATATCACAAACATAAACCAGACAGACTTTTAATCAGTCCCTTTCAACATATAAAAACAGTCCAATGTCTTCCTGCAAAGTCTGAACTCTGCTCCAAACCACGAGGATTGGCTGTACATCAAGCCCCGACATGATCATTGAAGATTTAAAATATCGATTTGATTCCAAATTTAATTGCTTACACTCTCCTAACTAAAATATTCCTTGCTCAAAGTTATTTTTACATGAGCGTTCGCCATATTGTCATTTCCGTGCTTGCGATAGACAGATCATTCCCAGGCTCAAACACTAGCCAGTTGTCCTTGAGCACTTAGTCGGATGGAAACTTCCTGCCTACTGCTTCTGAGCTTCTCTATAAAGACTGTGTCCTGTTGGCCTCCACCTGAATATACACCTCCACAGTGGCACTTCACACGTAATTATCGTCTACCTAAACTCTGCAGTGGCCTGGGGTGACATCTGGGCCCTCCGTCCTCTCAGCTCCAAAGTGAGAGCTTGATTGGTTGTGAAGTCTGTCTACAAGGGATAATATCGATCTTGAATGAATGCAACATCTAAAAATGACTTGAATAATTAACAAGTAGATGGTACTTAGAAAAAAAAGAAAACTGCAACAATTTACTCTTAAAGGGACAGTCCAGAATTTTGAACACAGGACCTCATTTCCTAGTGAGCCAGAGTGTTGAAGACTTGTGGAGATACTTTTTAAAATATCCCATCCAGTCCTTGTATTTTCAGAGGTCACTGATGCTAGGCTAGTGCATGTCAATGGCCATAGTTATCCTGACACTAAAAACAGTCTTACCCACTCCACAAAGCACCCAAAGCAAAACAATTATAACACCAGACTGTCGATGTGAATGTCTGTGTTGATAGAATCATTTTAGAAGTAAAACCAACCTTACATTTGAAGGATTTATGTATGAGCAGCAGCAGCAAGTTGAACTTCCGGATAGAAAGCTTGGCAGCGGAGGACTGATATATGATAAAATAGTCCCTCAACATGTGACGATTCATTAGATGCAAGGTTACTTTTATTTCAAACATTATTCTATCAACATGGACATTAACATCAACAGTCTGGCGTAATAATAGATTTGCTTCGTGTGTTTTGTGGAGTGTGTAAGTCTGTTTTTAGTGGCAGGATAACTATGGCCATTGACATGCACTAGCCTAGCACCAGCGACCTCTGCAAATACAAGGACTGGATGAAATATTTTAAAAAGTGTCTCCAACGCTCACTAGGAAATGAGGTCCTTTGTCCAAAATTTCGGACCATCCCTTTAATGGTGCACTATGTAACTTTTTGGGCAGGGAATGTCACCTGCTTGCTTCTATGGAGATGTCAATGCTCTGCCTTTAATGTCCCACAGTATGACATTAAACTGCTCCACTCTACATTTATTCAATCACAGGTGGTTTCATTGCTCAAAAATACCTAGAGAAACAGGCTTTCTGACTGCGAGCAGGATCGCCTCTCCACAGATCTGACCTGTGACGTGGCCTGGTTTGGGCTCCATGGAGATAGAAAGGTTTAATACCATACTGTGAAACATTCCAGACAAAGCAATAACATCTCCAAGGATAAAAAATATTTGACTGACCCTCCACCAGAAAAAGTTACAGTTAAAGAGTAATTTAAGATCAAATATATTGTTCTCTTGGTGAATAATTTCAATTAATACATTTTACAAATCAAATCTGTATAAATTCAGTATGATATCTCGCTGTGCTCACTTTCACTTTTTCTTTGATACTTCAGGCGATTACGGGCACGTTTAGCACATTTCTGATGGATTACAGAACATTTTATCAGATTATTGTATCAGGGGCAACCAACAAATATTGAGAGCATTTGTTTTTGCCAGTGTTACTCAGATGTTGACAGAGGCGCAGACAGGCAGGCTGGCTGTACATACATAGGTGAGAATGGGGGGTGATCTCAAACTAACTCATGTTTCACTGGAATGCGACGCCTGACTTCACTCAATTAAACATCAGATCTTGCAGAGAGATACAATGAGCAAACTGAGTGGTTTTCTGGCTACGCATTGTTTATGACTGAAATACTATATCAGAATTAGACCAGACCGATTAAGTCAGTCAGGTTTTTTTGCAAGAGTCTCACAAGGCTTTTTTGATAAGATTTCATATTTTTGTTTTATTGGATTATTTGAATTAACCATCCTCAGATTTCTGGCTCTGTGCTGAATTCCTCTCCCCAGTCTTAACCTCAAATGGACACAGCTTATGACTCCTTATAGATACATCTTAAATGTACAACAGTTATCAATCAGTAACTTATTATCTCTATTTCTTATGATTTAATGTATTCCCAATGCGCTCCTTCTTCTCTGGATGCACATGTGAACTGTCTTGTCGGATCACCATACAGGCTTTAAGAGTAGCATGCTTTGTAAACGTATCCATGCACTTTCCACCTTTGCTGCGCCTGCTTTAAATTAGCTGCAGACGTCCATGTGACCATCCTCTATCTTTGCTTTGTTTCAAGCGTAAATCAATCAGGGATTCTGGAAAACAACATATGGAAAGTTACAGATTTGAGCCCTTTTCTTAGCCTCGGGAATCAAATAACTGCTTCCTGATTTAGTTTACAAGTCCTAACCTTTTTACATTCTCCTCTTGGGTTTTGTCTAATGATAGATACAGTAAGTAATACCAAAATAGAGCTCTTCTGAAGGTTTCGCTTTTGCTTAAGTGCAATAAATCCCTTGCACGTGATGTGTGTAGAAAGGGCATCATTAAATAAACAGAAACTCGATGCTCAGTGAGTCTAAAATGTGATCACAGTGATATAAATACATGACATGTGGCTGCTGCTGTTGTTTCCAGCGGGACACTTGTAGCTGGGTAATCTCAAGTGAAGCTGCAGTGGCCACAGTAACAGATATAACGCATCTACACTGTAAAAATTATTACTGTATTTAGTTTTTATTTAGTTAAGTGAACTGGTTTTGAACAGTTTAGATGTATTTACAAATCGAATTTAAATATAAGTATGTATAAAACTGAGACTATTATGCCTGTTTAAAGAGAAAACCTAATGTTATTTAACGTGTTTTATGGCATTTTGGACCATTTTCAGTGTAATTAAGCTTAAATATACACTGTGTAACTTTTCTGGTGCAGAGTCTGTCATTTGCTTGCCTTAATCGAGATGTTGAGATATGGTATTAAACCTATCAATCTTCGTAAATACAAGAACGTGACACCAGCAGGCCTGGGGTAGGTTACAGGTTGGATTTGTGCAGAGGAAAGCCCGCTCAAAGTTTAAATACATGCTTTTCAATGCATTTCTGAGGAAGAAAACACTGATAACTAGGGATGTAACGATATCCTAATCTCTCGGTACAATATTATCACAATATGCATCTCACGGAACAATATCTATTGCGATATTTTGAGAGAGAGAGGCTGATATAATTGTAGATAGGATGCTTTTTTG